TAGGGCCGAGGCTGAAAACGTTTTCCGAGCACACGAGAACGCACAAGTGCACATCCTGAGAAACGGCCATAATGTTTAACAGTCACAGACCAAAACCTTTTATTGGAATTAATGCAAATTGACCTGGTTAAAATTCCCCCAGTGAGTGAATTATTGATGAGCCCTAAATTAAATCTGGTCTTAAGTAGTCTGCTGTATTTTAGCAGCTGTTTCATAAAACTGTGCCCCTTCTCTGTTTATATCAATTAAGCAGTTTATTTATAATGTGGTTTGTACACAGACCATAGAGACTAAGATAGTATTGGTATCAATAAGGATGTTTATGGAGGCATCCATCAACTTAGCAGCTCCATCTGAATTCTTCTATAGCTTTAGCTTCACTGCAATGAACACCATCATTCATTCTGCAGCTCTATTCCCGTCTCATCACTCTTGGAATCCAACTTTTATTTTTTTCCCCCACATTGGATCTTGGACTTTTCTTAATTATTTCATAACTCCTCTGGGATGTGCTAACTCATCTCTTCAATGTTTCCCTCCTGCATGCATGCTCAGTTTCATGTCTCAGTTATTGTAAATATACACGAAGGGCTTTATTTACTAAAACATTGAGCAAAAAAGCATCAAACACAAAATAGCAAATAATACACAACAGGAAGCAAAAATCTTTCTAAAAAACTTTGTATGAAACCAGAGTGATTTACTAGTGTTTAATAAATCAGTTTGTTGAATCAATCATCATGTCTCGGCTGTATTCTATAGTCAGATCGGAGGCTGTCTGCCCAACAGATGAACTTCAGCCCAAACTGAGTCATAAACAGACCAAATATCCCCAAAAATTGCAGCAGACTGACTGAGGAGAGGAATCAGTGGCCTAGTCAAAGTCTAGACCTCAGCTTACTGATTGGGATCTAAGAGCCGAAGCGATGCAGGGAAGAAGAGAAACCTGAACTCTAAATGACTTAACAGACTTCTTTCTGTGATTGTAACCCCCATCTTCCTCCTCCTTTCCCTACCAATCACACCATCGTCATAGCAACTCCTTGTCTCTCCAGCTCGGTACCAATCAGCCTCCTGCTATGAAATGTGCGGAAAGTAAAGTTTCCTTCAGTGACTGAACGTAAAACGGTTAGGGATGACAGCGGTAGACTCCTCTGAGCCAATCAGAGCTCATCTTTTCAGCTGTTTTTTGACCTCATTCCAGCGCCTCCTGCTGGGCAATCAGTGACACTTTTTAAGGAAGATGTTATTCTAAATCTGTTGAATAGTAAATCACAGTTCAGTACATTAAATTAATAACAGGTTTCATCTGTCTCCTCTACATCCCCCAGTGCTCCTATGTGCCCCCCTGTGAGAGGGACAACCAGAAGAACAAAGACAACGTTCTGCTGTGGGAGGATTACTTCACCAAAGAGGTCAGCAGCCAGTCCTTCACCTGCTTCTTCAACCAGCAGAGGAGGTGAGACACAAAAACACACACACACGTCTATTTCCAGGTGTGAGACGGACAAATTGGAAGCAGGAGGACCTGTGAGGGTGTGAAAACTCCTCGCTGACAGATCGATCTTACCTCAGGAGATTACAGACACCCAGCTTTAAGGAGACGTCCTCTACAGCTTCGAATTAGACAACATGGCTTTAGGAAAAACAAGTCTTTCTCTGATATTTCTTGGAAAATAGTTTAATGATTAAGATGCTGTGCTCTTTCGTTTTCCTGTTAGGAGCATATCTGTGTTTTTTTGTGTTTGTTTTTTACCAGTCATGGGTTCTTAAAAGGTGCAGTAGGAGATATTTTCTAATGCTTTTTTTTCCATGTGGCTTAAAGATCTCCCCTCAGCAGTGAAATAGAAGGTCTGGAAGTGAATCTAAATAACTGGCCCCCGCTACAGTGAGAAATCAATGAGTAATGTCCACCATTCACAAAACACAGTCCGTTGTACACGATTGGTTCCTGACTTGTCAATCGTGGTCGTCTGCTTGTTAACCCCCATGTGCGCGTTCCGTGACACATGAACAAATCGAACCCCCAATGCTCGTGCAGGACGCCATGTCTGGAAGCTAGCCACTGTTATGCTACGTTCACACCTAAAGCAGCAAGAGCAACAAAAACGTGCCTAATGCTTCATTTTTGATGCTTGTTCAAGTTTAGCTCTGAAGCGCGGCTAAAGCATCTCTGCAGCTCTTATCTAGTTCTCAATTTTTTTGCAGTGCAGATCACCGACGCGCTGCTTCAGCTTCTCTTGACACGCTGCAGGACCTCAAGCTGCGCTGCGATGCACATCAACCATTGACTTTGCATGTAAACTAGCTGCTCTTGCTGCCTCTGCTGCTTTAGGTGTGAACGTAGCATTATGTTGTTGTTAGCTCGTGTCACGAGCACTCTGTCTTAGCTTGTTTCGTTCTCGATCTCATCTGAACACCTCGACAGACAGCAGGAGCGTTCATGTGTTTTGAAGGCGCGGTTTGAGGGCTGGTCTGAAGGGAGAGGCATGGTTGTGTTTGTTCAAAATATAGGTTGCTGGAACCGTTTTTCCAAGATCTCCTACAGCGCCTATAACATCAGAATGATAACCAGTTAGAGGAACCTCAAACTGGCAGTAATGGAAGCTGGTTGAAGTGCTGCTGATGTTTGTTCTTGTTGTTTTGTTTTTTTATAAAACTTATTTGTAAATCTATGATTTTCAGCCTGGTCTTTACATCAGATAATGGTTGTTTTAACAAATAAGTGAGGCCATGTGGGGGTTTTTCTCAGTGTTTCTGGGTTTACTCTGTTTTATTTTAAGTCTGCAACCATAAACTGATGAGACTAAGAAAAACTGAAGAGCATCTTCGGTGCGTCAGCTTTATCCTCCTATTATTCAGTCCATTCTTACCTGTGACCTGGGCTGCTTTTATTTTTATCTCTGCAGCAGGACGAGGACTCTGTTTCGTAAATGAGGGCCCAGCGGGAGCTGGTTGATGCTCCCTTCAGCTTTGTGGTCATTTGGAAGAGAAACTGGAGCAGTCCACTGCTCTTTATTTAAAGATCTGGAAAAACACACACCTGGACTTTGGGTCTATGTTTTTCTACAAGGGTTGTGAGGCTAATAACCTGAAAATTAACGATGCAAGGACACATTTTGCTTTGTAGAGGGCTGCATTCTGAGTTAAGTGTAGATCTGAAAGCAAGAAATTCATTTTTAAATTCAAACTCTAAATTTATTCAGCAATATTTTCTATGCAGTAAAACTCGACTTGGACTCATGGAGACAGTTTTTAATCATGATGAAGAGTAACAGGAAGTCAGTACATAAGCTGCTGTTGGTTTTATTGTGAAAGAATGAGCTTGATCAGCCATAGATTATCATAGGATGCTAACAGCATCATGTTAGCTGTAGCTTATTAACGACACCATGAATGTATTCCTGCATTAAACGACTTTAGGTCGTTAAAAATAATAAAGTGACTTACATCTGACAACCTCTCTGCAGAACTAGCTGCAACATTACTTCCTGCTGGAAATATCAAAATAAAAGCACCTTGTTCTAATTCAGAAGTTCTCAGGTACATTTTATGTTTTCTATGTTGTCATTTATACCTTAAATGGAACCTTCTTTACTACAAGAAATAAGAATAAACATTGTTTCTTTTTCATATCGCATAATTGTGTGTTCAAAATTCTAACAAGGCAAATATCTCATTAATTCAAATGTCAAAGTAACGTGAGTAAAAGAGAAAACACAAAGGACGTTTTAGCACGTTAGCAAAGGAAAGATGGCTGTGGGTGTAGCACGCTCCTATGCCCAGGTTACTTGAGTGACAGTTTTCTGTTCTGATCAGTGCTGATATCTAAACTAGCAGGATAAAACGTGTTCAACGCCCAAATTTATGATATGTCGTGCCTTAAGTTCTAATTTCATCTCTTGTTCGGAGCAAAAAACAGGAAAACAACATCCAGTTTCAAATCAGTCAGCAGTTCCGCATAGTAGTGACAAGCTAACACGCTAAGATTTCTAATCAGATGGTGAAGAGACAGGGCTTTAGGTAAAAAAACAAGAATATATAACTGATAATTTTAATAACCATTTTAGAGGTAGATGATCTTCAAGAGATCAGTGCAGATTTTTCCTGTGTACTGCCACAGTTGCTAGGCGGCTGAATTATGCTGAGATGAGGGTAGGGATGGATGCCGTGAGTTGGACCGTCCAAATTCCTTCATTGTTGATGCTGTCTTTGAAGGACCTGAAGAGTGTTTCATAAAACTGATTTAGTTCAGAAGTCAGGCTTAGGCGGCAAAGCCTGGCTTATTTTGTGCATAAGGGTTTAATTATACTGTCTTGCTGTGAGTCTGACTCAGTTATTATGGCATTGACCCAGTAAACTGAGCCTGGGCGGGACCGGGTTTAAGGCTGACTTCGGTGAATGCAGATATGCCCCGCCCCCTCCGCAGTCACTCTGCTGCACCTCTCTAAAATTGTAGGTGACCGCAGACAGGAGGCCTCTGATTGGTCAAATCTATGTCCGCTCTACACTATGCGTATTTCCTGTTTGGTGCCTTACCGGCTTGTTTTGTTTGTATGACCACCATTGTGGAAAATGACTTGTGAAGATGGAACAGCTAGAAGAGCGAGAACGCTTTTTTCACCTTGATGTCATGTCCCTCCGTTGTCGCACAAACTTGCCCCCACTTCCTCACCCCCTCAGCCTTATCTAGACCCACAGCTAGTTCCTGATCGTCCCTCTTGCGTTGTGGCGTGGAATAATATAGCACAGACAACGCCTTAATATTGGGCATAAATCAAAAATATCTGCGAAAAGCCCCCTGCGATGCACTGCTGCAGGGAGGATAACCAGCCGTTTAGAGCTGACTAAGCGTAAACTGTCTTTGTTAAATCCAGCTACTGAGGGCGCTGTAAATGACTGAAAGGGCATCAGCTTTTTTCTCAAATGGAGCCAGATATGGCAGCATGTTATAAAGTACCAAAAAAATTTCATTTCCTGCAGTAAAATATTACACACAATTTTTTTGTACTTTATATATTTTCCTACACAGTAATGGAGTTTATAAATAATATGTATAAAATATGTTGGTTTGTTGTTTTTTTTTGCTCAGGATCTTTTTGTTGATAAAAAGATAGTGTGATCCATCAGGGCTACCCTTCTGGGGGAGGTTTTTTGTTCTTAGTTTGCACCTGTTAAAATGTGTGTATCTCACCACTGCTGTTACTGAAAGAGTTAAATGTGGGGAAATGTGTTAATTCTGTTGACTGCAATGCTTTGTCATTTTTCACTCCAAGCAATATTCTTACTGACTTAAATCTGACTGAATCTAAAACTAAGAGTAAGATCAAGTCTCCTTTGACTTGATCTTCTCTAAAAGCACTTCTGTTTGTGTCTTTCAGTTAGAGGCTGACATTAAGTTCAAATGAAAGTAGTAAATATCACATTTATTTTAAATATGGCTCTTGAGACAATGTTCCTGATGAAAAATTTAAGAATGAACACTTTTAATCCCTCAGCAATGACCTGCCATCCCCTTTTCTAGGTTTAATTGATGGTAACAGGTTTTCCCTTTATTATTTAATTTAGTTTTGATAGCTTTCTACTCCTGAAATGCAAGCTAGACGTCCTCTTGGTGAAACCCACTAATCACAGCCTTAGATCCCAGTTTAAGTTAAAACCAAGTCAGGCTTTTCTGAGCAAGTTTTATAAAAAAAAATCCCCTGAATTGGGATGCATCCATAGCTGTGAGAATATTTTGCCAGGGCTGCCCTGATACAACTTTTTCATATCCAATAAGATTGATATATTGCAGCTTTGAGAATTGGCTGATACCAATATTGACCCAATAGCACAAATCGCATCGGCTTTTATAGCTTGTTTTATATTGTAGAATGTTAGAAAAGTCTTGATCAAGTTATATCTTTAAAACGGGAAACAAAGGTCAACTACAAAAGGTATGAAAACAACTGACGCATGTAAAATGAACCAGTGAGTTAATGAATCGTTTATGGAAGTTTGTTTCAGCATGTAAATATAGGAGATTTAGTTGTCAGCCGATAAAATCCGATATCATTTTTTGGGCTAATATGGGACCAATATCTGATATTAATATCAGATCGGGACATCGCTATACTTTGCAACTAACTAACGTCTGGTACATTTGGAGCTTTAGATTTCAAGTTGTTTATAAATATGAATAGATTGAAGATTATCCAGCTATGCTTTATTAATTAAACCAGAGGTCTCAACAGGGGGTCTGCGACCCCTANTAGGGCCGAGGCTGAAAACGTTTTCCGAGCACACGAGAACGCACAAGTGCACATCCTGAGAAACGGCCATAATGTTTAACAGTCACAGACCAAAACCTTTTATTGGAATTAATGCAAATTGACCTGGTTAAAATTCCCCCAGTGAGTGAATTATTGATGAGCCCTAAATTAAATCTGGTCTTAAGTAGTCTGCTGTATTTTAGCAGCT